CTAAAAAATTGTCATTTTAAAAATATGTTAATGTTTTAGAAATTTTGTTTTTCAATTGTTATTCTTGTAGTATTTGTATTTGTGTTATTAAAATGTTATCGATCCCGATAAATAATGTATTTATTACCTATCATTTTTGGGTAAATATACAACATTTCAATATGTATGTCTTTTAACTATATTTATTGATATTTTAAGTTATATATTTAGTTTATTAATTTTATTGAGAATAAATTTATTTTTTGTCCTATTACTGATTTTAATTAATCTAATGTTTTTTTAAAAAAAAAATGCCCGATTTTGTAGCTGCTTTCTCGACATATCTATCCTAATAAACAATAATTAATTCCCGTTTATTTTAACACTATTCACGAAATATAAACAAAAAATATTCCCGACAAATTAGGTCAAATGCGTTTAATATTAATTTATTTTTTTTAATTTAAATGTAATTTTCCTAAGGCATAATTAAAACAGGAAAAATATCGGAGGGTTTAAGACACCCTAAATGTATTGCTTGTTCCAATTGGAGTTTTTTTGAAAAACTAAAAAAATGGGGAACCTTGCTGGAGAGAAACCTGCACCCATTATCTTTTTTGTTCTTTTATCACATAATATTTAAAATCCCGTTTATTTTAACACTATTCACGAAATATAAACTCAAATTATTCCCGACAATCAAGGCCAAATACGTTTGATATTACTTCAGTATTCTGCGATTAGGATGTAGTTTTCCAATGTATTCCTCTTTATTTAAGTAAAAAGAGGCTTATTAACACAGCAAGGGTTTAACCCTTTAGGCAATAAAAAAAAGTTTTATGACGTGTCAACCAAAAAAGTTATGGTCATGTTTTTAAAAATTTAAAAAAAATTGATTGAATTATTCATTTGATAAATATTAAATAAATCTTTAAACACCAAAAATGAAAATTACATTTGATGCTTTTAACACGTTTCCGTTTTTAAAGACATTTTAAAACAACTAATTTTTGTTATATACCAATCGAATTATTTTGCCTTTTTGATTTGTAACACAAAACACTTTTTAATCAATACTCATCTTGAAATCATTAATTAAAGTATAAGCACATAAAAATTAAAACAAAATCAAGGAAAGTTTGTCGATTGTAACACTGTTATGTTCAAATGTTCAATTGACCTTCTATTTTCGACTTGCAGTTTTGTGTCATTTACGCGCTCGTTTCAGTGGCCGAGTTTAACGAACAATAAAAATTAAACAAAATGTATTATACGAACAGACAAAGTTGATGTGTAATGCTTGCAAGCAGCGTCGTTGCTAAAACATGTGTTCTCTATGTCAAGTGTCGTGGAAATGTGCGCGTAAACGACAAAAAACGAAGATTAATAAGTTATGTATTAATTCACGACGTACTCTCGGATTTAAAAAAGTCAAGAAATGAATTGATTCATAAATCTTAGTTGTTTTTGTTATGATGTCTTATTATATTTTACTAAGATCGTTGCAAAAAAATGTCGTCAGGAATGCGAACGGTTATTTCAACTATTATTTTAAAAAAACAAATTGCAAAACTTAAATTATTTCACAGCAAATGATTTTTAATAAAATAAAAAATAAATGGAACGCGAACGTGTTAACTTCCAAATTGTTGTGAAATATTTTTTTTGAGAACGATTTCATTAACTCTTCTTTTATTTGTAAGAATTTGCGTGTACATTAGACAGATTTCGATACAACCCAATTTTAGTGACTTCTAACAGACTATTTCCATATATGGAGACACAACATTTAAACACAGAAAAAGTATCAAAAGTATTCCACAAGACTGTTTTAACAATTACAAAAAGCTTAAAACGATTGACTTGCCATCTACAGTTACTTCAATTGGTGGTGGTGCGTTTTCTGGATGCAGAATAGAATATTTTACTTCGCCAATAGAACTGGATGTTATTCAAAGTGATACATTCAAATATTGTTCACAACTTAGAGAAGTTGTTATGGGATGACGACATTTTGCCAAAAGACATTTTACCAAAAATTATTAAGAATTTTCTTAATTATTCTTTAACAAAGAAAATTTTAAAAATAATTCATTGTTGTATTTTTGTCAAGCTTTTATAAAAATATATTTTTGTCGACAATAAATAAATTGTAAATTGTATGAATAAATATATTTATATATTATTACAACTCTGTGTATTTTGTTTTTATTTTACGCTATTAAATCTTATTAAATAGAAATATTACTTGAACCAGTAACTTTGGTTATACATACAATATTTTGAGTGTTTTTTTTAAAGCAACAAATAAAAATACACAACTTAACGTTTGTGTAAATTCACACATTGTATTATTGGAAAAGTCTCATAAGTATTATTTTTGTTTAAACAAAAATACTTGATTCAATTAACCAAACAATTTATAAACAATTGTTATCAAATTTATAAATAAAATAATATTTAATTAATTAGTATATAATTTAATGATGTATTTTTCAAAAGTGAATTTGAAATGCAATTTGTTTAAATAACCATTTGTATTCAAAAATTTATTTTTAACATGTTTTATGTAAAAATATACCAAATTTAAAGTTCTTTATTGTGTTTATATGATGTCATTTGAATTACTTCGGCTCTATTATAATCACTACAACCCGAATTATTAAAATTGAATTATCATTTTATTAACTTTTATTAACTTTATTTCATTAAAATATTAAAAAAATAATCGTTTATTTTTACATTTATGTATTTATATTACTTCATTGGTTTTGTATTTTTAATTATAAATACAACATCAAAACTAATATATAACAAGAATGAGCATCAAAAGCACAAGGGGGAAAGAATTGCCTATTTATGATGGTTATTTGTTTCATGCCATAGACAAAGAAAGAACACACTTTCGCTGCTCTTGTCGAAAGTGTAAAGTGACTATAATAAAAAACACAGATGGATGTTATCATTATGGCAAAACAACAACTCACATTCACAAAAAACAAGATTTACGCAGAAAAAATCATTCAAATTTTATCAAAAATGACTTACAAACTTCACCAACAAAAAAATTAACAATGAAATCATTTATAACAAAATACAAAAGAGGTTCGATAGGAATAACACAATCGACATTAGAACGTTTTGTTCAAAGAAACAAAGTTCACAAAATTGAACCAAATTCATATGATGATATTATAATAAGTGTTGGCGACTTCAATTTATTATTCAAAGATGAGCAAATTGGAATACTTATATTTGGAAATAGCGAACAATTGACAATGTTAGCAAGATGCAAAGAAGTGTTTATGGATGGGACTTTCCGGAGTTGCCCCAAACAATTTTATCAGCTATATACACTGCATTGTCAATTACAAAACAACCAAACATTTCCAGCAATTCACTATTTGTTGAAAAACAAAACTTTAAATACATATGAAACACTTTTTAATGCCATTGAATGCTTGCTAAAAGAAATCAACGAAAATTATACTTGTTTTGGAAGAAACGTTGTTGTTGTGACTGACTTCAAAAATTCGCTTATCGCTGTTTTAAGAAAATACAAAACTTTTGGTCTAAAGCACAAAGGATGCCTTTTTCATCAACGTCAAGCCATACGAAAGTTTATCAATAATGCTGGTCTTAAATGTGAGTATTCTTTAAATACGGAATTCAAAGCTGCAGTGAAAATATTAGAGTCCGTGTGCTTTTTGAAAAAAAGATATTAGTCAAACAGTTGGTATTTTAACGGCGTGGTATTCTCATGTACCTTCATTTGGGATAGTTGTGGAATACTTCAATAAAGTGTGGATAAATGGCGCGTTTCCCATTTCATTGTGGTGTCAATTTATGAGAAAAAAGAGGACTAATAATGATTGTGAGTCTTACCACGCCGCGCTCACCAGGAGGCTTGAGTTCGTGAAACCTGGTTTCTGGAAGTTCGTTGAAAAAATCGGAGAAGTGATAGAAGACGTTAATAAAGATCTAAAAAACATGAAAAACGGACATTATAAAAAATCAAACAGTAAAGTTGAAATAATATATAATACACTTAAAAATTTAACAACAAATTATTTCTGTGGTGAAATCAATTTAAATTGTTTTCTAGAAAAGGTAAGTGTGTTATTTGATGGTTTAAATCATGAAGTTTATTTCGAAGTCGAAAATTGTGAACAAAACGAGACGGAAAATATTACAAAAGAAAAATGTGTAGATTGTATCAATGAAAATGTTGTTGGTATAAACACTTCAACAAATGGTGATATGTTTGAACGTGAAGACTTTATCCAACAAACAAGACTTGAAAATAAAAATCCAACTAAAATTGTTGATATTCAAAATACAAAGAAAAAAATTATACATGAAAAAAAGCCAAGAAAAAAAAGAAGATCTGTAATCCAAGAAATCAAAAAAGAGTGTAGAAAAAACAAAAACAAAAAAAATAATTAAGTAATTTATTTTTTTAATATTTTAATGAAATAAAGTTAATAAAAGTTAATAAAATGATAATTCAATTTTAATAATTCGGGTTGTAGTGATTATAATAGAGCCGAAGTAATTCAAATGACATCATATAAACACAATAAAGAACTTTAAATTTGGTATATTTTTACATAAAACATGTTAAAAATAAATTTTTGAATACAAATGGTTATTTAAACAAATTGCATTTCAAATTCACTTTTGAAAAATACATCATTAAATTATATACTAATTAATTAAATATTATTTTATTTATAAATTTGATAACAATTGTTTATAAATTGTTTGGTTAATTGAATCAAGTATTTTTGTTTAAACAAAAATAATACTTATGAGACTTTTCCAATAATACAATGTGTGAATTTACACAAACGTTAAGTTGTGTATTTTTATTTGTTGCTTTAAAAAAAACACTCAAAATATTGTATGTATAACCAAAGTTACTGGTTCAAGTAATATTTCTATTTAATAAGATTTAATAGCGTAAAATAAAAACAAAATACACAGAGTTGTAATAATATATAAATATATTTATTCATACAATTTACAATTTATTTATTGTCGACAAAAATATATTTTTATAAAAGCTTGACAAAAATACAACAATGAATTATTTTTAAAATTTTCTTTGTTAAAGAATAATTAAGAAAATTCTTAATAATTTTTGGTAAAATGTCTTTTGGCAAAATGTCACCCTCTCGTTGTTATTTCTGATAATGTTGAAATAATTGGATGTTCAGCATTTGCAAAGTGTTACGGCTTGACCAAAGTTGTTCTCTCAAAAAAGTTGCTAATAATAAACAATGGTGCTTTCGATGATTGTAGAAATTTGGAACACATTGATATACCAAAAAGTGTTTATATAGTTGGGTGTTACGCTTTTTCTGACTGTAGAAAATTGAAAGAACTCGTTTTTAGTGAAAATTATGATGTTGGCTCTAACACGTGTTTTAATTGCGTTTCTTTAACCAAACTTGTGCCTTCAACATTGAAAGGAAAACTTTTTGGAAAAGTGTCAAAACAGGAGGAAAATATCATCAGCAAATTTAATAATGAATATGATATTTTATTTAATAACGAAGGTGAGACTCTAGATGTTGGAAATGTTGTTTGTTGCTTTGTTTTTAGTACATAAAAATTATATATATTAATAATTTCATCATCAAAGTTATTCAAAATAATACGCATAAACGTAACATATTAATACAATAACACGAAATTGAAACTTTAAATCTTATTCATTTAATTTTGAATGATTGCATCTATAAAAATAATTAACAGTAATACGTGACAAAAGAAGCAGTTGACAATGCGTACAATCATCACTTATTTGAACACACTTGCGTTATATTTGACACTAATAAAGTGACAACAATAACTTCAATTTATTTTACTGATTTTCGACAACTCAAAGAAATAAGCATTGGTCCAAACGCAACACTAGAAAGTGGGTGCCTTGAAATGTGTTCATCTCTAACAAATTGTACTTCCAAATAATAACATGAAAATAACATATGTACCAACTTCATACGAAACAAAACTCTTTGATAAGTTTGGGTATACATATGAAAAAGTTATTTTTGATTTTTGGCAAAGTAAGCGATTGTATCTATTTAAACAAATTGAAAAATGCAAAACAATTGTTGAAATAAAAGGCCAATTGTGCGGGGATTCTCCTGATCCAAATTACATAAAAATTCCACAGAATGTCACGAAAATAAATAGTAACTTTTCTTTAACACTGATTTTGATAGAATAGACTTGGGAAATGTTATTGAAATTGGAGACTCTATTTTTGGTGATAATTTGATTTCAGTGACAATGCCAACTACTCTCACTCAAATTGGCGAACACATTTTTGAGAGATGCAAATCACTCAAAAATGTTGATTATTGTGGCAAGACTGTATTAACCAATTTGGTTAGTATAGACAAAATGACTCTTTTAAAACATTTGAAAATGACTTGCACGTACGTTGAAGTGCCTTTAGACAAACTTGAATTGTTTCAAAACATTCCAAATGTGCTATTAAAAGTGAAATCTCCAAATAAAATATTGCATTTACATACAATTTGTTTGCCAGTAAACGTGTGTGCACTTGAATATACGTTTCAATATCAATTAACATTGAAAGAAATTACTTTGCCACAATCTCTCACTTCAATTGATTATTACTGTTTTAGTGGATGCATTTCCCTTGAAAACGTGAAGCTCTCAGATTATCTAAAAATCATAGGTGTACACGCATTTTCAGCGTGTGGGTTGACAAATATAGACATCCCAAACAATGTGACTTCGGTTGGAGATTATGCTTTTGCCAACTGTTTAAAACTAAAAAGTGTAATTTTTCCAGAAAGTGTATTAGAAGGTCGAGATGTGTTTTTTAATTGTCGGACATTGTCGTCAGTTCAAGTCATTAAAACTGGTCGAGTTAACATAAATTGGAAATGTACGTTTTCAAACTGTTGTCTTCCGAAAGAGTTTGAAATGCCAAATTGCGTGACTTCAATTGGGAATAAAGCATTTGAACAATGTTCTTTATTATCAAAAATAATACTAGGAAATTGTGTTGAATATTTCAAAGATTTGTGTTTTGCAAATTGTGTTAATTTGGAAGAATTTCTTTGCCAAAAACAGTGACTTATATTGGAAATTATACATTTTTGAATTGTGTCAACTTGCAACGGATTTATCTACCTAAAAGTGTTCCAAAATTATCACCAATAGCTTTTTTGAATTGCGAAAAGTTACACGAAATATACTTAGAAGGAGAACAAGTGTATGAAATTGACTTTCCAGTCTCATTTGGTGTATTTCAAATGTTCGTGAAGAATGGGGTTCAATGCAAAAATATATATTTTGTGGAAACTGATTTTGAAAAATACTCGAGAATTGTCATAAAAAATAACCAGAAAATATGCGAAATACCGGAGTGTGTAAATTATTTATCAAAACAATGTTTACACAAGTATTACGGGTATGGTATCATCCATTTTCCTCAAAGTTTAAAAAGAGTTGAAAATTTATCAAGCGAATTTGGAATCATGGTTTATCCATAATTCATTTTTATTGAAATTTCAAAGATAACATATATAATACATATCTAATGCAATATAATATGATTATATTTAATAGTCAAATTTAACAAATGTATCACAAAGTTTAATTGTTTTACTCAAAGTTTTTTATCACCAAATCGAGATAAATAGTGTTAATTGTCATTGAACAATAACATTATTAATCAATTATTATGTTTATATTGCTTATTTGAAATGATTAAATTTTGTTTAAATTTGTCAAATTAAATTTATGTTAGTTATTTTCTTGGTTGGTTATTTTTAAATTATTTAAAAAACATCAAACATGATATTTAATAATAATTACGTTTAATGTTCTTTTTTATTATTACAATAATGACATAACATGCACTTTATAAAATAATATCAATTTAAATGATGAAATCGTTTAAGAGTGTTAAACAATAATATTACATAATTACAAGTTTCAAGATTTTGCAATTGTTAGCATTCTAAACTAATAACAACTTTAAAGTATCAAGTTTATTTTTAATGGTTATAACTTAAAAAATCATAAATATAAAACTTTATATAAATACATATTAAAATTGTTATATATGTTACATTTAAAACAAGATTTTTTTATGTTATAAATTGCCAAACATAATCATTCAAAAATAGTAAATTAATTTTCGCACACAAATTTCAGACATCATCCAACTCTCTTCTTATTTCCTTGACAAACTTTTGGTTTATTTTACCAGGGATAAACAAAAACGTGTGAAGATTCTTTTCTGAGTGCCACGAGTCCAACACAACTGAAAACTCGTTGATATCACATTGACATATAACAGCCAAATACTAGTCGTTCATGTTTTCGTAATACCCAATATTTGAGCAATGACTCGCATTTTTGACAAACTTGGTGCTCCTTTTGTTGGTGTAAATTCAAGTGTTTCTTCATCAACTTGTTTGCACGACAAAAGTACTTGCACGCAGCAATCAGACGTTTTTAGCGCCTCTTTCATCTTAAAATTGCACTCTTTCAGATCTTCCATAATACTTTCTTTGCCGACGATTGCTGGGAAGTTAGCTCCAGCCGAGCAATAGAAATTGTGACGTTTCAATTCCTCATTTGCGAATTTTGTTTGACTTGTGTCTGTTGGTGCGTACACGCTGATAGGCACTTCATTGGTTATGTTCATAAACCGTCGTGTAGCTCTTTCTTGTGACGCCATTAGTATTGCCTGAATACCAATTTTGTTTCTTTGACAAAATGAAAGCACTTTCTGACAGTCGAAAGTGCCAAAGATGTTGATGTAGTCACACTTCTCTGCTATTGGAGGAACAACGGAAACATGTGCGATATCCCAGGAAACGGGATTTTGGTGTAAAACATTTTCATTGATGGTGTACAGACTTTTATAGTCAAATGGAAGAAGTTCATCGTCTTGAAGGGCTTTATGAAATTCGTTTGGAATTGCGTTCTTGAGAACTTGATATAAATTAGCGATGGTGCGCCCGTCACACAGTGAGTGATTTGCATACAACTTTAAACGACTTGTTGCGCCATTTTCTGAGTATTCAACGTGAAACAGGGGAGCACCTTCTTGTGGCAAATTGTAGTCAGCCGTTTCAATTTTTTTTGTTTCTTCAAATGGAACTTTTGTAATATAAATATCGACATTATCTATAAGCCATTTATCGTTTAATTTATACCAATAAAAATGCCCGTCTTTTGTTTTTATAGTAAGATGAAAAGGAGTGTATTTGATTATCTCTTTCACTACGTCAGTTCTAAATTGTGTGAAATCAAATTTGTTAAACGTGTCAATCAAAGTCAGACACACATAATATACAGGAATTTCATAGCCATTGAGTGGACGGATCTCTATCATTTAGGTTTTGAGTTATATATTTTTATTCAATTTGACTTTGAAAATAATTATCTTGAAAATTAAAGTTCGTGTTAAATTCATTGTGAATAAGAAACTTTTTAAAAAATAATTATATGGCCTCTTAGCATAGTTGGCAGTGCCTTTCCCTAGTAAGGAAAAGGTCGTGGGTTCGACTCCTGCAGAGGCCTTAAATTTTATTTTACAAAACATTTCAATAATAAGTAAACTTGAAAACAATTTTTATTGAAATAAATATAATTATTTTAAATAACTAAATTGTTTATAAATGTCATTACTATAGTTGTTATAAAAAAAAGCTAAAATTAATTGTTGTAAAAGAATGTGACTTTCTTGGAGTATATTTGTCAGAAAGTTGTCATTCATAATTAGTTTCAATAATTAAAATTAATATAATTTAATCAAAAAATTATAGTTTCTTTTTTTCTTTTCAATTAAAAAACAAAATGTAAAACAATAGTAGAAATATGGTATATTATTAAATATAAAAACCTATTGAATGTTAGGTTACTCATCTACAATTGAAAATTGTGAATAATATCAATACGAAAAATAGAAATTTAAATATAATAAAACAAAACTATTTTTTAATTATTAAACGTTTCATGGTTTTTGTTTGAATTCTATATTTTAATTTGACCAAAAAGAACTTTAAAACACACAAAAAAGAAGACATGACTTACCAACAACCACTTGCTTACGTCACACCACAGTACAATGTCCCACCCCCACAATACGTCCAATACACTCAACCGATGATGCAGACGCCTCCACAACAATACCAACAAGTCCCCGTTCACCAAGGACAACCCATACCTCAACCTGAAATATTTGTTCCATCGTATCAACCACAACAAAAGGTGAATACGACTAATCAAAACGACTCAATGACTTCTGCTATGTTCTTTGCACTTGGATTTTTACTCTGCTGTTTGTGGATAATGGGGTATTGCAGATATCGAAAATCACCGGACGCTCAAGCAAGGTCGTTTGCCTTTCTATCTCTCGTGTTTTTTATTATCTCAACAATCATAGCTGTGTTCGTCGTAGGCTTTTTCGTTGTGTACTTTGTCATCATATTCACCGTGATCGTTTCATTAGACTATTAACTCTCTAATTGTATTGATTTAAATTATTTAATATTTTTATAGTATATGTACTATACTTGAAACTATATAACTCTATTTATTATATTAATGTGATTTAATTATATTTTAATTAAATATTTATTTAATTAATAGTTCAATTAAATTAATATAATAGTATATTTTATTTAATTGATATCTAATAAAAAGTACTAATAATATCAGTCTCAAAAAATGATTTGTTTATTTTCTTTTGAAAAAAAGCATATTTGGGATGTTTAATAAATATTACTATGATTTAACCTATTTTTTAAATAACATAGCCAAAAACATAATTTTGGGTTAGAGTCGATTAGCCAATCATTTCATTTTTTCTTTTTACCAATAAATGGTATATTTAAAGTTTTTATCTACCCAAATAACGGGAAAATGAGGTAAACAAACCAAGTTTTTTGGAACTTTTTTGAAACTTTTTGCTTTTTATATGAAAAAACTTTTCAACATTTTTTATACACTCTTTCAAAAAGCAAACTTACACCAACGCTTTAAAGACAAATTTTTGGAATAACTTTTACCCGACAACAGAACAACAATCGATGTTCGAGTCTGCCAAGCGTTGTGTTCTTATTGATTATGATTTGTCACGTTGTTTTTTTATTTTTATTTAATACAATTAAGTTCTTTGTTGTAGAATTCTTTTGTTGTATCTATCATTATAAAGACAAAAGATTTGCCTAACTATTGTTCACAACAATAGCACATTATTTTTAAATTTATAAAAAATTATTTTCTGTTGTTACACACAATAAGAAAATTATTAATTTGTGTAATTAAGCGTAATTAATTAATTTGGTCAATTTGTCTAAGTTCGTTTTAATTGAAAAAATAAATATATTACAGGTCGGTACGAAACCCCTATAGTTTTCTAAAACCCCTCAAGTCTTTAAAGAGACTATTTTATATTTAATTTTGTTCTAAATGTTCAATTAATAGAGAACAACAAAAATGATAATTACTCATTCTGGGGAGTTAAGACTGTATTTATAATTGAATTATATTCGAAATGTTATGGTGACTATATTCGACAAATTTTAATAACAATTTACATTGTTTGTGATCACATTAAAATGTTTTAAATGACCATGATTGTGTGATAGTTTTTAATTATTTTTACTGATTTCATAGCTTTCTTATTCTTTATACATGTTTTTCATTTTTCAACGTGCTTTTAATTATAATTTTTTATTATTAACTTGATAATAAAAAAATAGGCGTCTCTGTCTTTTTTACTTGCCTTCTAAAAATATATTTCAGCCATTTAAGTGTTAAACAATAAAAAAAAACTTAAATTTTTTGATTATCTTGTGTTAGATAAATTGTTGTAATTTTCTTGTTGTTTTTTATGTGATAAGACAAACAATGTAAGCAGTACGCAAATAATAATCACAGCAATTATAAACAATACACCAAGCACAGCAACGCCCGTTGAAAGTAAAACAATTTGAGTTCTCTTTTTATCATCTTCATTAGCAATTTGGATCTCCATTGATTGTTCTACAAACCCCTTTTTCAACCCGACACAGGCATTTCCTTTATACAAATCGACTTTTTGTTCGTTGACAGTGAAGTTTTCAAAATAGCAGTCGGCGAAGTCAAAGTAGATGTTTTTAATCATATCAAGATCATCCAAATGAATAATGCAGTTCACAAAGTTGCACGACTCAAACACGACATTTTCATAATTATCATGATGATAAAATATGGTATTGACAAATGTTGAGTTGGTATAGCGGACGTTATAATGTTCTTGGTAATAAAATCCAGTGTTTTCAACGACTAGACCAGATAAGATATCATTCGTTAACGTGAGATCATAATAACTGTTTTTAATTGTTAAATTGGAGAAAATTGATTCATGAATTTCTGTTGAATAAAAGTTGCAATTTTCAATAGAAGAGATATTGCGATATCCACTCGTCTTCCCAGAAAAGATTTTTAACGTGAAAAATGTTGAATTATACAACACAATTGTGTCAAATGTTGATGTATAAAGAATACAATAATTGTTATATGTAAAGACGTTTTCAAGCAACTCAAAAACAACATCAGAAAAGTAATTGTCGTAATAGTCTGATTTGTTACTTGTAAGTTGATTGAGTGTCAAATGCGATGTTCTTGAAGAGGAAAACGTTGAGTTGTAAAAAGTCACTGATGTTGTGTTATCGGGTAAAATGTAATCAGTAACTTCCCCAACAGTATCGAAATATATCGAAGGAGTCATTTCGGTAGGATTCAAAAAATCAAATTCTCCGATGAAGGTGCAGTTTGTGTAATTTGTTTCTGTATTTCCTTTAATGACTGTCAAATCATCTGCGCATGTGTATTGATAATAATATTTGTTTGCTTCTGTTGATTGTTGAGATAAAGCACAAATTGAACAAAACACTGTGATGAGTGCAAAATACATAATGATCTTATTAAATATTAGCTTTAAGTTTCTGTTATTTATTTACAGATGTTTATGGCTTATCGAATTGAATAGAACATTTAATGAGTGTAAATAACATTCAATACTTAATAATTGTTATTTCTATTCAAATGTTTTTCAGTCAATTAATAATAATATTTAAATAAAAAATAAAATAAATATTATCAACAACTATTCAACAATATAAATCCATTTATTAATGAATGGCAAAGCCAAACTATCATGTCATTTAAAAACCCAAAAACATTAAAATGGTAAATAACATTTTCATTTTTGAAAAACAAAAAAAAATACAAAACACAAATATTAATACCAAAAGATAAAATGAAAAAATATAAAACGATAATTTATATCAAACATGAGGTTGCTTTTTTTAATTACAGTAAAATGCATCTGTTTGTGGGTTTTCAAACAGAGAAAAGATCTTTATTTGTGGGTTTATCATCGAATTGTTAAGTAAATTCTTTTCACTATTTTGTACATAAAAAATGAAAGATATTTAATGATATTTGAGTATTATAATTATAAAAATACTATAATTTTTATTCAAGTGTACCCAAATTCAAAGTTCGAGAGCAAAATAATTATTTATGGGTTTTACATTTGATTGGTACATTGACCCACAAAGCATATTCCTTAAAAATATAAAAACCCACAAAAAGACACTTTTTTACTGTAATTTAAATTTATAGTTGTTGTTTTTGAAAATGTGCAAATTTTTCGAATTTCACATTTTGTCGAATTATTCAGCAAATTGATATTATAGTATAAATATAGTATATTGTAAATAAAATAAATTTATAAAATGAATAAATTTCATTGAATCAATTTAAAAGTAAAATATTTTTCAAGTTCAAGACAAACTTCAAAGCCATTTCTCAATATCAATGCCAAAACCGTTAGACCGCTATTCAATGATGATTGTATCAAAGTATTTCAAAAACATAGGAGACTTCATTAAGATAATTAAAGTATGTAAAAAGTTCAAAGCAATACCAGAAATGTTTCACTACAATCCCATATGTCTACGCTCTCATTTTAAATTCTTTCCCAACGTCGAGACGTATTACATTTACAAAAAGAACGACAAAGTAGTGCCGGGGTATTTCAAATATGTTTATGAATACCCGGTCTCATACTCTTTTTACCTCTCAAACAAATCTACTAAAAATGAATTTACACACGTTTTTTACACACAAGAAGATTATAAAAAATATCAAAGCTTTGAAGGAGCAACACATTTTCGTGGTAAAATTTTTTTCTGGCCTCCTTATGATGACAGTCCGCTTGTCTCATACAATTTGAATGGAATTGTATCACTTGGTAACATCGGTTTTAATAACAACAGTGGACTCTCGAAGATAACACTAGACAGACGCCTTTGTGAGCTGCCAAGTGGTTGTTTTTTAAATTGCGTTTCTTTACAAGAAATTGATCTCAGTGGTGTGAAAATAATAGGAGAAGACTGTTTCAAAAACTGCAAAAAGTTGTCAGCAATCACATTTGGTGAAGAGTTGTCTGCTGTTGGACACAACGCGTTTTATGATGTTTGTGACATACAAAGTGTTGTAACTTTTGGTATGACTAAATTGGATTCGTTGATCAACATGTCTTCATCACACGCATTCGTGGGGATCTCTCACAAATTACTTGTAACACAAAATGATACAATTCAACTGGATAATTTGCAGTTATTAAAAGTCTTTGCAATGTCAATCGAGGAAATTGGAGATAAGGGTTTCAACAATGTCTCTATAATAGAAGAAATGGACATCCCAAAAAGTGTCACAAAAATTGGATATTCCGCATTTTCTAATTCAAACCTCAAACGACTTGATTTGACTAATGTAATCCAAATCGGTGAACAATCCAACATGAAAAGTGTCACTGCTATTACAATTCCAGCGGCTTTGTCCTTTGATAGTCTCCCATTTTTGGATTCATTAAAAAGAATTTCCGTGTTAAACGGCAAAGTACTTGAATCGCCTGCGGCGTGTTATATGAAAACCATATTAGAACAAGACGGGTGTTCAAGTAAACATTATTATTACACTAAAACTGATTACGATTATTACAATGGAAAAATCCCCCTTTTTTGTATACTAATAACAAAAGATGTTTTCTTTCGTGTTGACATCAAATACATCGAAATTCCACAAAATGTTGAAGTGGTTGATTGGGGTAATTTATATCACTGCGAAAAACTCGAGAAACTTGTCATTTTGTCACAAACTCCGGGGTATATTAGTGTACATCAATGTAAACAATTAGAAGAAATCGTGTGTAAAAGTGTTGGTAAGAAATTAAAATTCTCTTCTTGTAATAAGTTGAGTAAATTAACACTGTCAGCCATACCAGAGTACAACGTGAACGTTCCTTTAGTTGTCAAATGCCCAAACTTGAGTGAGATAGTCATCGAAAATATTCCACAAAATGGTGTATACAACGGAAGAATAAATTATGATTTTTGTAAATTAGTGAAACAAAACATTAGATTTGAAGATGTTGTATATGATGGATACCACGATTACAATACAATTAATGAAGATGTGTATTATTCAGATGAAGATGATAACCAAAATAGTGATAAATTAGAAGATGAAAATGTGTTGACAACAGTTATTGTACCAGAAGGTGTCACAACTATCCCAACAATGTCCATACGAGCTTTATTTAACAATATAAAGTTGGTTCTTCCTTCAACGCTTAAGAAAATTGAAAGCAACGCAGTTGACTGTGTTAATTTGAAAGAAGTTGTTGGGTTGACTCAAAATGTCGTTATTGATAAAAATGCATTCATAAACTGTGATAAAAGTGTAGTGGGACTTTACAACTTCGTTGATTAAATCAAATTTCTTAATTATTTGCTGAATGTTTTTCAGCAAATAATTAAGAATTAAAAAACAAATAAATGTCATTCCAATAATTTATTTATTATTTACTTTATTTTTTTTGCGTGAGTCACTTTTAATGCTGAACAAAAAGTGACTCATTGAATCAAACGAGTGAATAAAGAAGACTACAAAGACTTCTTTGAAAAAATGAATGAACGATTTAATTGAATGGTTGTTTTGAAGTTAAACAAGGTTGAACAAAAGACTAATATTTTATAATTTAATAATAATTAAAATAAACTTACTATCATAATTCACATTAAGCTGTTGTTTATACATACTTTAAACAACATATTCATTTTTTTTTCATCCCGAAAAATAACCGTTATTAAAACCAAATAACAAGAAAATTACACATTTATTTATATATTTGCCCGTTTTATTGTATAAAATCCGCTTAATATTCAATAACTAAAAATAGTCTGGTCCCTGTTTTTCTATTTATTTCCGTTTTTTGTTTTTGTTTTTTTTCAATTGTTTAAAATTCAAACTTCCAAACAAAAAAACATTAAAATTTGTTTGAGTTGTAAATTTACTCAAATTAAATCGTTAACTTTTTCCAATAACAATGAAATATCGACAATTGCAAGTCGTTCATTGGGGTTTTGGCACCAACACTTTGTGATGATATCGAATAACTCGTTTTTGATTTGTTTTGGTTGTTCAATTCGTTTTCCATCATTAACAAATTCTGCGATTTTCCATGGAAATTTGAAAATATTTTTGTCATAGACATCTCCCCATTTAAAACACTCACACATAGTAACACTGAGCGAATACACATCAGCCGGTTTCTTGTACTTTTCCTGTTTTAACACTTCGGGTGCCATGTACACTGGTGTACCAATACCTTTCGTGAATGTCATGTTAGTCATCATCATATTCACATTTCGACTACTTCCAAAATCAGTCAGTTTTGCATTGACACCATCATTCAGTTCAATTGAAAAGACGAGAATGTTGTCTGGTTTAATGTCTCTATGTAATATCCCGTTTGTATGTAGATACAAAATTCCTTTAGAAGCGTCTAACATGAATTTTATTCTTAACTTAATCTCAATTTCTTCAGATTTTATGTGTTTCATCAAGTCTTGTAAACTGCCATAATTTGCAAATTCGGTGACTAAACAAATTTTATTTGGAATGAAAACAGCACCATAAAAATGTATGATATAGTTATTTCTAAATTTGTCCAACATCGCAACTTCTTTTCCAAATTCATTAATCCCCTTTTCGTCATCATCTATATCTTTTAATTTCTTGATAGCAACTATATATTTTCTATAACACCCCTTGTAAACAACGCCGAACGAACCCTCTCCAATTTTGTTCTCTTCATTTAATTCGTCATAGTCGATCCGTGTAGTTTGTTGTGTCACTCCTGTAACTTCTATTGTATTATATTTCTCGTTGTCTCTTTTGAGGCATTTTGAGACAATTTGAATCGTGTTTCTGATTTGACAAGTACAAAACGGAATTAATACAATTTCAAATTCACATGCAGAACCTCCTTTAAGACAAACAACTTCTGGTTGGATTTTAAGATCAAATTTGTCAGAATTTTGTGAAACTGTGAATTGAATTTTGACAACTTTTTTGTTTGTGTTGCCAACACAAAACACTTCTCGACTTCCTGAATCCACTGGAATTTCTTCGACATCTTTGTTAAAATCAATTATTTGAGATGAGACACAGATCCCATATTGAAGCGAAATGAAATGAACATTGGATCTTTTCATTCTAAATATTGTTGTTGTTTTCTCGTATGTCTTCTGTTGGAATTTTTCAAATACACTTTTTGTAATTATTATTATTATAACAATAAATGATATAAGTATAACAATTGAAAGTATTACCACTAAAATAATCACCCACCACACAATATGTGTTTCACAATAAGTCCCATCCTCGTTTGGACTGTACCAAAAAGCACAGTTTGTACACTTTGAATTGACTATTTCATTACACTTGGATATTTGTAAAAGACCAACACAACTTCCATTGCCAAACAACACAAGACTTGAAATACAAGAAGTGCATTTATTATTTAATAAACATGTAAAGCAGTTTTCATCACATTTTTGACACTCGTTTGTGTTGCTTGTATAATACCCATCTTGACACTTAGAACACCCATTTTGTGTGACATTTACAGCACATCCGATGATATCACTTTGTGGTAAACAGTCGCCACTTGATGTTTTGTAATTTGTTGAATTGCAAATTAAACAGGTAGTTTTGGTGTTACAAGTAAAACACTTTGAATCACATTTTACACAATCAAGTCCGAAACGGTAATACCCCTCGTTGCACACAATACAACCACTCCCAAATGTTGCAAATTGTTTGCATTTTATTTTCAAGTCGTGGTTTGTGTTGCATTTATAATTTGACAAATAGGTGTTTTGTGGACAACTAAGACATTTTGTTGATGTCTCAAAACAAGTCAAACAACTGTCATCACATTTTTTACATTGGTGTGCTGATTTATCAATGTAAAAAGTATCGTTACATCTAGTACAACCAAAACTGTTTTGTAAAATACAGTTTTGTTCTTTGTTTTTCTGACATGTGTTATTTGTAAATATGAATTCATTTTCACATTCATTACACTTCCCATTTAATAAATATTTACAATTATCAATAGTTGTTGTGCATTTACCATTTTCATCGTTTGGAATTACACAATCTGTAATTTCACATTTACCATTTGCATTCATTTTACTTAAACTGTTACATTTTGTTATTTTTCCATTTTCACACAATTCTGGATTTGTGTACTTTTCATCACATTTTATACAATTTGTTGAATTGGATACAAACCCTTTATTACAAGAAACATCGTTGTTCTCGGCTATCAAATTGCTGTTAATATCACTTTTTACACACTCACCAGCGTTGTTTATATATCCAATATTTATGTTGCATATTTGGCATTTCCCATCCAACTGATTAAGTAAGCATTTTTCTTTGTATTCACAAGTAATACCCTGCAATGAATAACCAATTAAACACTTAAAACATGCATTTGATTTAGAAAATTCACAATTAGTGATTTTTTTACACACCGAGTTGACTACTATAAATTGACTTTTACAAGACATGCAAATATTTTTATTAATAGGACAATACTTACAATATTTGTCATCACAAATGGTCGGGTCTTCACATGTTTGAGATGTTTTGTTGTATGTTTTATGTGTACAACGCAAAACAATTTTAATTTTCATAAATCCATTTTCTGTGTTTAGTACGGCGTTGAACTGAACACCCGCATAAGTCAACTTTGTTTCTGAAATTAATAGAAACGTTTTTGTCAATGAAAATATTTTAATATCAACCACTTTTGGTGTTGAAATTCCAATAACGATGTTGTCAGTTTTGTATAAAGATATTTGTGTACTACCAAATGAAACACTTTCAGTTGTAAACACATCACCTGTTTTATGATTTGTTTTTGAATGTGTATTGTATGCACTTAAATTAACAAACAATGTGGAAATATTTTGAAGTGGAGTAATATACCAGTCTTCTGTATTATCACAAGGACAATAGTGTTCAATGTATTTGATAATTTTACTTTTACATTCTTCAACATGACAAAATATTTTATTTGAAGTCCAAATCCTAACAAATTG